TAATGATAAATGAGTTAAGAATATTAAAATGTTTGGAGGCCAAATGGAAGTATTATGACTAATGACACATAATGAAATCATTTTTCTGATAATTGCTGCTTTTCTTTCAACTTTAGGAAAACTTGACTAGAGACTGAATTTTGACATTAAGCCCAAGAAAATGAAGATTCGAAGATAATTTCTCAAACTAGAATCTGGCCAGGTCACCATGCTTAGCAACAGTTTCAAAGAGAAAGATAATTGGGATTTTTAATGAACTTTGAAACTTACTTGAGCAGTGGGAAAAAAGCTACAAAAGAAGTGGTGTTAAGCAGTATGAATTAATTTTAGCTTGTTCAGGATACATCCTAGTGGTAAAATCTTTCTTCTTTACTGTGATTAGCCAGAAAATAATCTTTTCTTTATTAACTTTTCTCCTGATTTCCTTTGAGGAAAGACTGCAACGTAAATTGTCACTTGATCATAATGTCTGTAAGATAATTAACTGGTATTCTCAAGTTTGATTACAGTAAATGGGACAAGTAAATCAATTCAATGTAAGAAATAGGGCAACCGTTGGTTTTTCTTCCCAAGCTACCAGCTAGATTTTATAAAATGAAAGATATGAGTTCAGAATTAGATCACGGTGATGCTTCTTTTCAATCCAATTTCTAAAGCACTGTGATTTGATTGTTATCTAGAAGTGGGGCCCACCTACCATATTCCTCAAATGGCAGCCATGGCTGAATTTTGTAGAAATAATGCATTGCATTTTATAGAATATGGCCTCAACTGATTAATGTTACTTCAATACTGTTCAGGCTTTAGGAATCTTCTGCCAAGTTTAAACAGTGTAGCACTAAGAAAAGAAAGAGACTCTGGGGAAGAGGAAATGAAATTAACTGAATAAATCCTAATTTGGAAGGGAGAAAAATGACAAATGGAAGAAAAACGCAAATGGCAGAGGCAAATAGTTTCCCTTAATATCTATGTCTCCTGATAATATTTTAGAACCGGGATTATATATGGGCAGCTAAAGCTGAGAGATGAATAACAAAAATATCTTGAATCCTACCGGAATATCACGTTTTGCGTTATTTTTCTTCCATTCTTGGAGAGACAAAGAAAAATGACACTGTGGACTAACTGCCACACAAAACGCCCCCCCACAACACTCTTACATATAAGTAGAAAATGTACAATCACATTCACTCCAAACTACCTTCTCTTCCTCACCCATCCCTAAGCAACTCCTAATTTTTCAAGGGAGAATCCTTTTTTGGGTGATGGGGGAGACGGTGCCTACAATCCTTAGCAATGATTTCCTGACTGCTGAGTAGCATTAGTCATGCATCCTCCTCATGCCCATAAATGGAGGACAAGCCTACACTGATGCTATCAGACGAATTTAAACAAGGCATGTTCTGAGAGAACCCTCAGAGCCAGACTGACAACACTCCTGCAGCAAACCCATCTTCAACAGAGCATGTTTTGTTTCATCTCATGCCTGGGTGCACATCGCTAATAGATGCGTAGACCAACTGGGCATGGCTGTGCATACCTAGGGCGTGGAGCGGGCCTACTATTGTGATATGAAGCTGGGGTTGTACCCTGAGGGGAAGCTGAGGTCCATAGATTTAGTGTCAAGAAGAGAGTATATTTCTTTTGATTTACTGTTTCCTTGTCATCTTACAGCATTCATTTATTCATTCATTCACCTTTCAAATACCCAGGTGCCTACGTGAGGGCCAGCATTGGTCTTCAGGTGGGGTAACCCTTAGGAGAGAAAAGTTCAAGTGATTTTCACCATTCAGCCGAGCCAACACAATCTCCGCTAATTTTTTCTTTTTTTCCTGAGGAAGATTCACCCTGAGCTAACATCTGTTACCAATCTTCCTCTTTTTCGTATGTGAGCCGCTATCACAGCATGGCCACTGATAGACGAGTGGTATAGGTCCGCACCTGGAAACTGAACCAGGGCTGCCGAAGTAGAGTGCACCAAACTTAACCACTAGGCCATGGGGCTGGCCCTCAGCTAATTTTTAAGCAGGGTTTATGAGACGAGAATCAGCTTTAATTTTTACTGCTTTAACTCACTCTTACTTACACCATAGGAAGGTGGTATGATGCGGTGGAAGGGGCAATGGACCGATAATTGGAAATCCTGGGTTTAAGTCCAGTGCCACCACAAAGGGACTGTGGGACTGTGGGTAACTTAACCTCTCTGGGCCTCACTTTCCTGTTTTGAAAAATGAGTGGGTTGGACTTAAGATTCCTTCCATCTCTAAAATTCTTTTATTCTATATGGTAACACATTCCACAAAGTTTCCTTTGTGACCAGAATTAGTCTGTGACTTCCTAGCTCAAATTTCCCTTTGGCCCTCTTTGATTGTTAAACCAAATATGAACAAGAAGCAATAACATTTGGTCACAGCCAACAAATTCCCCTTCCACAGAACGACCTTCGGAGGTCAGGCCACCCATTGCAGTATCTAAATCCGAAGGCAAGGGTATGACCAACTTGTGAGCTGGCGGGCTGCCATCCAGAAGGATGGAAATGGTCGTAGGCAGCCAAAATTCTTGGCTGGTACATTTTTAATAAACATAGAAAATAAGAACAGCATTTTCCACTTGGATTGCTTAATTTGGTACCCATACCATTGGAACATTTGCTGTTAGGATAAAGATGATGTGATATACCACTTATTTAGTACAGGATGGATTAACTTTCACAAATGAGAAGTAGGTTATGGAGTCATCTGTAAGGAATTCTTACCCTTGCCTCTTGTCTCTGGCAGGAGATAGTTGGAGTCATTACAGCAAAATCTCCACCCCTTTTGGCCCTTTCTAAGAGTTTTCCCTGAAACATAAGCCCTGCTGGATTTACTGTATTGCTATGAATGGACTAAGGCAAATTGGTGTGAATTCTTTGTGGTCAAGTACGTCTTATTAACACTTTTCCAAGACAGTTCCATATGTCTTATTATTACTTTTCCAAGAAAAAAGCCTCCACAGCAAATGTTCTTTGGTTAATTTGGAGAATAATATTTGAGGTACATGTGTTTTAATTACATAAAAATTACAGTATTTATGATAAGACAATGAACCTCCTAGATAGTAGCTATGATTTCTAATCATGCCTATTGCACTAACTCATCCAGTTCTTCAGCTCTGTATTTCCCTGTCTTTACTTGTAATATGGCAACAAGGACATTTGACTGGCAAGGGTGTTTTGACTCCAGTGCTTGGAGATCCTTGAATAAAATACTCTCTGTGACGGTAAGCTGTAATTAGATATGTGGGTGGAAATTAGTGTTCTTCAAGTACACCATGTTTAAGCAGAGGCACTGTGCTCTTTACTACCTGAGGCCACCCTGGTCCTGTGCCATAGCTCCAGGTCACTTGCTTCCATAGGGCTGTGGGTTTGAGGCTGCAGGTTCCAAAAAGAAAATAACTGGTTATTGAGTCTGAAACCAGGAAGCTTTTTATAGTTAAAACTGGGCCACCCCGTTCTATTATAGACAAGTCAGGCATTGACCAAGTACAACTATAACTTGTCCACTTTTCTTTTGGAAGTGTAAATGATCTCAATTGTCGTAACTCTACGTAATTCAAATTGCACTTCCGTCTTAAAATAAAACATCAAAACTTTTGAATAGATTCCTCGAGTCATTGTGGGTCCTCCATTTTGGATTACATCCTCCAGTAATAGCAACCCAGTGGCAAGAGACTAGTCATCTTTTATATAGAAAAATACATCCCCCCACCTCGGGACTACAAGAGGCCTGCAATTTGTCCAGTTTAAATTTTTATTTGATTATTGGACTTGCTTTTGGATACCTAAAAACTCCCACAACTATAAATTCTGGCTTCCTCGATGACACCCCTCCCACCCCCCCACCTTGAGTTTGCTTCTCCAGCATTTTACAGTTACCTTTTAAAGGAGGTGATTTCAAGACCATGTGAATGACGGAAAACTTAAAACTATCATCAGTTCACATCCCCCCCCCCCCCCCCCCCCCCCCCCCCCCCCCCCCCCCCCCCCCCCCCCCCCGCTGGAATTCCCTTTTTGCTAATGACGATAGAAAGCGGCTTCGCTGGCTGCGTTTCTCCCCTTCCACTCCCGCGGCTGCACACGTCTGAGCGCGCGTCTCCCGGCGACTGCGTTTCCCCGCGAGTTGGCTGAGTTCGTCTGGGGATGAAGTCATCCCTAAACATAGCCTGTGCATATCAGCCCGTTAAATCGGTCCAGCAGGCTGGGGTTCCTCGGGAAGAACAGGAGCGCCGCGAACAATGAGGACCATATTTTACATCTGCACGCCACCCCCTCCCCCCGTGCCGGGGGACTCGCTGGGGGCCGCCGCGCGGCGGGGGCGGGCAGTGGGGCCGGCCGGGATGCCCAGCGGCTCGCCCAGGTCGCGGTCCTGAGAGAGCAACAGGGCGAGCTGAGGACAGGCCCCGCGCGAGGGCACCCGGCCGCCAGCAGATCCGGAGTCCCCCGGCCCGGCCCTGTGCCCAGTCACGCATCCCGATCGCCGCCTCCCGCTCCCCACGGGTCCCGCGCCTCGGAGGTCCCGCGGGTCCCCGCGCGGGAGCTCCCCCAGCCTCAGGGGAGCAGGAGGCGACCGGGAGGGGGCCGACGGCCAAGGACGACCCCGGGCGCAGACCTCCGCGGGCAGCGGGCTGGTGGGGGGGGCAGCCCCCATCCCGGGGGGCCGGAGGGGAGCAACAAAGAGCCTTCGCCGCCCCGCCGCGCCCCTCCCGCTCTCCGCAGCTCGGCGGGGGGTGCGCCCGGCCCCCCGCCTCCCCTCCCCGCGCGCCGCCCCCTCGCCCCCGGGGAAGGAGGGGAGGAGGGCGGCGCCTGCGTGCTCCTCCGCGCGCCCCGCCTCCTCCCGGGCCGCTCGCGGCGCTCCCGACTCTCCTCCCGCGGCTGCTGCAGCTGCCGCTTGCACACGGCCTGGGCGGCGGGCGCGGCGGGCGCGGGCCTGGGAGCGGCGGCCGGGGCCCCCCTCCGAGCGCGGCCGAGGGAGCTCCGGCGGCGGCGGGGGAGGCGGGAGGCGGCGGCCGCCACGGACCCGCTCGGCGCCTCGGCCTCTCCGCCCCCTCCCCAGCCTTTCTTGCGCCCTCTGCGCTCCCGCTCCGGCCGGCGCCGCGGCTTTGTGCGCGGAGATGGTGTAGCCCCCGCGCGCCCCGAGGAGGAGCCGCACGCTGTCTCCAGTCTCCGAGCTGCGTCCCCGCCCCCGGAGGACAGACCCCCCTCGGCTCGGCGTCTCCCGGCTGCTGGGGACACCTCGGCGGCGCCGGCACCATGAGGTGAGGGGCGCGCGGGGCGGGCGCCGCCAGGCCATTGTGCCGCGATCCCCGCTGTCCCCGGACCCCGCCTTCCCTCGCCCGGCCCGGCGCGGCTCCCCGGGCTCTTACCCCCCCTTTTGTCCCTTCCAATTTCTCTTTCTTGTCACCCTCTCTTTGTAGCCCCTCTTATTTCGGGGTGGGGGGGCTCTCTTTTCGACGTTCGCCCATTTTTCCTCAAACGCTCCTCTTTCGCCCCGGATTTCCCTTCCTAAATTTCATTTGCTCCTGGCTCCCTCCCCCCCAGCCTTTGCCAGCCAAACCTGCGAGATGGGGAGGGGTTCGAGAATCGAAGCGTGCATGTTGCTGGGAAACAGGTATTCTTCTGTAGATCTGTAAAGATGTCGTGCGCTTTTATTACAAAACTCGCGTGTTTCGTGGAAAAAGGAAGAAAAGTTTGAAAGATCTGAAATCTCTGCGGGTAATCAAGTGCCCTGGGAGTGGAAGGTGAGGGAGGTCTGAAAGGTGAAATTCACCATGGTGGGGGAAGGGAAAGGATTTATTAGGTTTATATGTGGGGGGACAATAAAAGGCCGGGATAAGTAAGTTATTTGGGGTGTGTAAACGGGGGTGGGAGAGGGATGTGTTTGGAAAACCCTTCTCTCTCCTTCTGTAGCAGCCTCTGTTGCATTGCAGTAGCTGGCTTTTTCCCTTTCCTCTATAATCAATAAAACAGAAGCTAAATTATCTTTTCAGTCCCAAAGAAAAGAATTGAATGTACCGTCGGAAGATATTTTTTTTAATTGATACGCTGAAACATATGGTGTGATCTTTTTCTTTCTCGTTTCTCCAATTGTGTAAGAGAATAAACCATGATGTGGTGTGTCATTTGTTGGAGATTTTTTTCAGCCTTTCCTAAGCCTGTTTTGTGTCCATAACCTTCTCTTTTCGGATTGGTGCAAGACTTCGTGAGAACTGGGACTTGGTAGACAGAAGGCTGATCCATTCTGCGTTATCATCCTTTATAGGCCTTCCTTTTAGGTTAAACAATTGTAAATAAAGTATATTACTCCGTTTCTGTCTCCTGGAAGAGATAGTCTTACAGTTATTTGGATTTGAATCTCCTTTGTGTTAGAGATTAATGGCCAGCCGTTGCCAAGACCTTTATAATATAATACAATGAGATTTGAATGATATAATCTACAAATTCCTTCGCTTTGGCAAGAAAATGTCATGTCATTGGAATTCTTTCTCAATTTAAGTAGTTTCCATTTTAAACTTCAGGGTTTTTTTTTTTCTTTTTCCTATCAAGGTTGAGCACTTTGCCATTTGTTTTTTTTATATATTTTTTTGTGGTATAGCTGTGTTGAATTTTCACTTTAGCTTACTGTGAATTTGCATTGTGTTTTTCTCTGATTCCAAGTTATAGACCTTTATTTTGATGGCCTAAAAAATTGTGTTTAATGCTGTGTGTCTAAGTGACCCTTTTCCTTAGTGATTTCACACAAGTTATTTTCAAATGTAGTGGATCAGTTGAAAATGTAATTATGGCATACAAACCAAAAAACATAATCTTCGTAAAATATGGCTTGAAAAACTTGAGCCATTTGTGAATATGACATCGTGAATAATGTCCTTGAAAACTCAAGAACTATAATAAAACATACGTAATGTTATATCTTGTTATGCTATTATATTGTTGATTTCGGCTTTGAAGACTTAATGCTATATAGGGGTCTTGCGGACCAGAAGTTATCAGTTTTTTCCAAACTTTGGGTAGATTTATCTCAACGCTGAGAAATGTAACACAGTGAAAGTGGGATTTTTTAAATAAAAGCATCGTAAAGTTGTCTGATTCAGAGGTGATGAACCAAAAAAAAAAAAAAAAGTTAGTTTTCGGTATGCAGTAAAGTTTGATCACTATCATGTCTAGTTGTCAATCAGTCACAGGCAAATTATGTCTTCACTTAAATCTTCATTTAAAGTTCCTTTTCTAATAAAAAGTAACTTGTGGTTTAACTGTTTTTTCAAGTCATCTACAGTAATTCTTTATAAGCTAATTTTGAATAATTTAAGAGCAGAAAAGAGGATCAGCTTTTCACTTTGGAAGGCATCAGATTATTTGGGAGGTGGTGTGTGCAACTCGTATATACACATTTCCTTAGATACCTGTGAAAGTAGGGTGGTCTGGTATGGGAGTAAAAGGTTCCTGTGCTGGTTACAAAAAGCTTTGGGATATTTTGATGCTTAAGAAAAGGCTTTTCAGGTTTTATTAATATTTGGCTTAGTCTTAACCATGCTTCCAAGTACTGTAGGATATAAATGTTATACTATTTAATTGAGTCTTGTAGTTATATTAAGGAGTAGTGCTGATGTTTTAAAGGCCATCCAGAAATAGGAATGTATGGGTAGGAATTTCCACTTAAGTTAGAATTCTCAACGGAGGATATGATGACTATGTTGTGGTTTGAGTATTTGTGATAAGATCTCTCAGATGACTTTAATTTTAGGAATAGCATGCTCATTGTAATATAATGTAATAATCTCTATACAGAAGAGAACTGAATAATACTTAACATTCCTGAAACAATATTAAAAGCATTCTACACATGTGAAAAGCTCTATGTGGAATTACTTGCTAATACTTGGCTTAAAGATGAGAATTAAAAAAATGAGAAAGTGTATTTCTTTTACAAGCCAGTGAAAGGGTTGAGACTCAAAAAACTGATACTTTTATTAGTGTAACATCCAACTTTTTAGTGCTATTCTTATTTTTCATTTATGTGATATTTCCAAATTATAAGATGGTTTGTGATTGTGGTAGGTATATATATATATATACATGTATGTAATATTAGTAGAGTGTATGCCTTTTAAATAATTTAAATTTTTTTTTTTTTTACTAATTGTTTAGTTACTTGAGATTGTTTTTTATAGAAAGAGGAGCTTATCTGATCTAAAATAGTTGCATGTAGCCTAGTGGTTAAGAACAGCTCAGAAGACTTTGGATTGACATTTTTGGGTGGATGTTAACTAGTCCAGGCTTCCACTCACTACTCTGTGACTTTCTCATGTAAAAAGGTGTTGTGGGGTTGTGAGGATTCATCCAAGCCACTTACTAGCTGGATGACCTTGACCTAATCACATTATTTCACTGGTCCTTATTTTGAACTGTATAAATATAGGGATAATTCTTTCCTGGGTAGTCAGGGTCAAATGATAATAGAAGAGAAGGTGCTTTGTGTATTCGTAAGCATTATACAATTATGTTACTCTTGTTTTGAGGCTTAGCGCTGTTTTGGACTAGTTATGTAAAACTTGTGGGTAGTTTGCTTCACCTTTCTGGGCCTTATCTAGTTGAGGATGGCAAGTAGGTTTGCTCATCTGCTTCCGTAAAGGAAGCCATAGGCATGAGTCTGCAGAAGCTGACTAGGGCTGTTGAGGACAGGACACTGTGGACGTTGCTCATTCATAGGGTGGCCAGCAGTCGGAGCTGCCTGGGCAGCATGTAACAATGAACTCCGGTTGGTAGTGGCCGCCGTGTTGATAAGGACGTGGACGCATTTCTGGGCTTGGTGGGAAAGCCTGCTGTGGTTCGTAATGTTCGATTGGGACATCGGTCCCAGAGAGTAACAGTGGAGAATGTTTCCAGGAATGCTACTTATTTAACCGTCTGTGATCTAGTCCAGTCTTCGTGTTTTATAGATGAGGAAACTGGTCTTTAAATTTCCTTTCTGTGTGTATATTTAGAGTCTTCGAAATACTTCTTGTGATTTCGTTGCCTTCATTTATGGTAATGATAAATTTAATATATATTTTTAAATATATTTATTTAATATTAATGTTGCTGTCAGGGCTCAGAAGATCCACGTTTTATATGCTGACTCGTTAACTGAACAAACTGGTAAAAATGGAGATAATTCTATTATTTCACAGGATTGTAGTGTCAAGTGAGGTGTCCGTGAAAGGATACAAATAGTAGTCTCTCTGTTCCCATGGGTCTTCATTTGTACTTGTAGCTCCTGGATGTGACTTTCCCACAGAGGTTTATTTTAGGGACAGGAGCCAAATTTGCATTTTTTTTGGAATGTCAGTGCCTTACAAAAGGCATTGTTTTGCATTGTAGGTATTTATTAAAGTGAATAAATATTGAAGAAGTGTGGATTAATGGAGAAAACTTCCTGAAGTTTATACAACAGTTAAGGTCTTGGATACGCTGTCAGCCCAGCTGGAATAAGCGGAGTGACTGGGCAGGCCCCATTTGGCTGATATAGAAGAAAGTGCCTAGTGGACTGATGGTTTCAGTTACTTACCTACACACAGCTTAAATCCGGGGTGATTGTATAGCTTGTAGAACACCCAGTCTTTATCGTGAGTGTAAGAAGGATTTGGAAAAATGTGATTTCGATTTTTATGCGATTGTGGGGGGGGAAGGATACTTAAACTCTTCCTGTGCCAACTTCAAGTTGCCTTTTCCTTTTCCCCCCTCCTCCCTCCTCTTTCTTTGAAATCGATGGATGGGATTGCGTTGAAGTAAAAGTTAAAAGAGAGAATCCGAGCTGAGGCTGTACCTCAGTGGACGCTTCCCCAAATAAGGGCATATGAAGTTTTCTGGAATAGAAAGCAGGAAGGGAATTCCTTGTCAGACCTTCTGGGAGGTAGTCTCTGATTTATCTACCTCTCAGCTCTTCCTGTGTTCCTATGCACTCTGCATATTTTTTTGCTGTTGCCTTTATTACGTTGTTTTATAATTATCTGGATCTGTCTGTCCCTCTCCATTGTAATTCCTTGCAGGCAGGGACTGCATTTTTATATTCATGGTACCAGCAAAATATTTGGCAAACAGTGGGTGCTCATGTAAATTTTTGAGTTTGACCTGGAGTGTCCTTTTCCAGAATCTAGTTGCTGACAATCACAACCACCATTTTTGGAGTACCTGTAATGTTCTAGAAACTCTGCTGGGTACGATAGGGTGTAATATAGTATTTGGCATATGGTAACTGTTAATAAAGTTATTTAATTTA